TAAATTATGCATGTTATCACATCCATTGACACTCTATAATGGGCACTTTTTATTGCCGAGTGATTTTCTATGGAACTGTGTGCATCTTCGTACAGTTTATTTTTAGTAAGCGAGAAGATGGAGGGAAAAAAATATACATCCTATCAAATTTTCTTAACTCTTTCTGGAGAACTTGCTAATAGGATATTAAGGATTGCCAATAAAAACTCACATTCTCACATCTCATTTTTAATTTCTATTAAACTGCAATACATGGAAGAGAAAACAATGAGAATGGGCTAAAAGACACAGCCATGTTGTATGGCTCTCGGTAAAAGTTTTGAAAGGAAGCTACATCTGAAATACTACATTTCAAAATAATTTCTTTTAGTAAACAGTGTAACGTTTAATAGTAAAGAACAACTTTTCAGCCATATAAGACCTATTATTTACAAGCCACATGCTACTCTACCTGGTATGAAAGCTGCTTTTCAGGATCCTTCTGCCACAGTGAATAGTACATTCAGCTGAATAGTTTTTGTTTGTTTGTTTGTTTGTTTGTTTAAATAAAAAGTGCTTTGTTAGTTTGCTTTTTGTTCTACTATATATTACCATCTCAAATGGTGGAATAGAAAAGCAACAGTGACACAGGTGATCATGAATCATTTAAGATATTAGCCTTGTTTCAATCTAGAAACAGATGGTTTGCACTCAGTAAATTTGTCATTTATTAAAGATAATACAACAGTGGGAAAATAAGCCAGAAAATAGAGAAAGATTATAAAAGCTGATGAGAATGTTTCCCTTAACATTTTTCCTTATCCCCAATGTACAGTAGAGCAGGGGAATGCTATGCTATTGGCCTTTCATTTCAAATTAGTTGGGAGGTTTATGTTTTACAGTGAGTCTTGTTCAAGAAAAAATGTTATGTGGAAATCCTTCAAATAAATTCAATATTTCAGTAGTTTTACTAAATAAGATCTGCTAACACATCTACTTATGGCAAATGAAGCATGCAAAACCAGGGGTGGAGGGGGGAACAAAGCAGAAAACAATGTTTATTTTCTCAGAAATCATTCTACTTCAAGATTTTTTTATGCATTACATTCATATATGTATCAATGTTATATATTTCTACATTTTTTTCTAGAAAAAAAAATGCAGGCCAAAATTGTTTCAGTAAGAATTTTCATCCAATTCTAATGAACATAAATTAGAAATTAATTTAACAATCATATTGTTGTATGATACTGAAAACTTTCTAACCCAGATCCAGAGGACTGAGAGTGGTATAAAACTTTAAACCAGCAGATTAGACAGAGAGAAAAGGAACTTTGAATTAGTTGAGATCATGGCCTTGTTTCATTTCCTGTCAACAGACAATAATCTAGTTTTCAGGCAGTGCTGGTACACTAGTAGTTCTTTTCTCCTTCCCAGCCTTTAATATATAAAATATGTTTATGGCCCTTTACTGCTATGTAGCCTTTGTATCTCTTCAAACTTTATCACTATTAATTTTGGCTGGTATAGAATATATACTACATCTAGTCTGATAAATTGAAGGCAAATAAACAAAACGTTAACACATTTTATGTGTCTGAAACATAGCTCCTATTAATGGATACACAGAGCTCTACAGAAACACTGCTATGTCCAGTTACACCAATGAAATGTGATCTTTCCATGTTTTGAACATCAAGCTCTTCCTCTTTCTCTCACAAAAAAAAAAAAAAAAAAAAAAAAAAAAAAAAAAAAAACAGTTCTGAAAAATAATCTTTGAGCTTTTGTAAACTTTATTTCTTGCATGTGAGTTTAATTCAACTTTTTTTTTTTTTAAAGAAACAAAACAATTTATTTCCAACTTTTGGTGTTATAATCTTATGAAAATCAGCCTCTCTCCTCTCTGTCCTCCGGTGCCTAATTTTTCTAAGTTAGGTAATGAGTGTAAATTTTTGTTTGATTTTTTCCCAGTTAGGTAATGAGTGATAGCTTTTCACAAGTAAATGTGGGTCTGAATCAGTCTTTAATGATATGGGATTCCTCTATGTTTCCAGCACATTTTGGATCAAGTTAAATATAGAAACAACCATTGGTGAGACTGCAGGGGATAAGAGGCCACAGTGCACAATCACATCTGCCTGAAGTTCTACCAGGCACACGCTTCTGGAGACAAAGAATAGTTTGGACTGCTCATGTCTGATGATGTTGAAACAGGATGGACATACAGATCACTGACAGCTCCAAAATGGTAGAAAAAGACACATCCCAAACTCGCACATATCATCAATCTGAGTACCCAGAATGTGTACAGCTGGTGTCCTCCTTGTCCTCTTTGTCACTGCAACAGATCCTAGACACTGCATGTCAACACAAGTATTATGGTGCCTGTGGGCAGACAGATTGAACACCCCTGCCCTTGTGCCTGACTGCAGGACAGACTTCCTGGATACCACACACAGTTCTGGTGTTTAAGAATATGGAACAGTGAGGGAGGGAAAACTTGTTTCAAGGTTTCATTTTAGATAAAATCACTGTCACTCCTGGTGTTTCTTATCTCTATCTGACCGGAGAACTGTGTCAAAAGACACATCAATGTGTAGAATTATTAACTGAGTTTGTAAGATGTAAATTTCTGGGAAGTTTGCTTGCTTTTTAAGATTCTACTTTACATGTTATACTTTAACTAACTTCTGTAAGTCTAATGTCAAAATCATCTGATAAGAAGCAAACCTGATTAGGATCGAGCATAGATTTATGATGGTGACAGTCTCTGTGATGATGAACCCGTTATCTTTCTCCTGTGCTGTTTGGAGAATGAAATTGGTGATGCATTTATGAAGAAAAAATAAATAAATAAAAAGCCAAAGACATACGTGGGACCAAAACAGTTCTAAACTGAGAGCCAGACCTTTTCAAGTACTGAACGTCTAGCTAATTCTTTATAGATCAAACATATTTTCTGGGCTAGCCTTGGAATTTCTTTCTATTTCACATATTCAGGCAAGGAAGGTACCATGGTAATTTGCTGCTCTTGTGTACACTTATCCACCGGCAAACTACTTTGATCCCTGATGTTAGCATATTCATTCTAATGGAATTACACAAAGTATGGTTTTGTCCCTTATTATTCATTCACACAGTGAATGCTAGGATTATTTACCCACCACATGAAACCAGCCATTCACCCACAATCCATTCACAGCACAGAGATTGCTAAGCAGCCTGGGCAAGAAGGGAGGGCAAGAAGCTCTGATATGCCAAAGGTTATATGCAGTTTCTTATGACTGCTAAGCATTAGCTGGAAAAATCCTAGAGAGCAATAATCAGTTTACTGACAGTACCACAAGAATGTATATTAGCACAGAGGATAATCTAATGTGTTTTGTTTGTTTGTTTGTTTGTTTTGTTTTGTTTTAATTTCTCTTTCTTGCTATTCTTATTGTAATAAAATAGAACAACTATAGCACAATTGTGGATGGAATATACATGTATACACTGCAAGGAACCTCTTTCTTTCCCCATATATTGTTGAAATATAACTTGCTAAAAGTGCACTTGTTGTCATATCATAAAATAGTCTCATTTTCTGTCTTCTTTCAAAGCTCTCAGTTCTCAGTTTTCTCATGTTGGTTGATTTTAAGAATCCTCATGCAAAATCTATTCAACTTTGCTGTGAAACTTTTCTGCCCAAAACGTTCAATAAATGGTCTGTAACACGTCATTTGTTTCAGTAACATCTGAAACAATATCATTCAAACTTTTCATGCCAACTGCTGAAGCTATTTACATCATGTCTATAATTCAAACAATTTTTTCTAAATCTTATTCTTGTTGCCTGCAATTCACAAACCAAAGCTGTTTGCTGCAAAGCTGTTAAGTAGTGATGGGTGAATCTTATGAGATGTAGGCTAATTACATTGTACCATTTGTTTTTACTATAACCAATTTATTGCTTGTATTTATTATTTAAGGTATTTTGAAATACTGCATATGTGTACAACCATATTTTAAATAGACTTTAATGATGATAAAGCACATTTCAAGTGGGTAGCAAAGCACGGTATTATAATTTACTGTTTATAGACTGCACAGCTAATTTATGCTGGTGGAAGAGAAAAATAGATACAGAAATAGAAATCTTTTAACTTTGGTAAAACTATTGGTCACCAGAAACTAAGTTTTCAGTCCTGGCTCCTAATTTAAGATTTAGCATTCAGCTTTCATAGCTAAACAATAGTTGTTTTTGTAGTGAAATTACCTACACATCAATATTAGTGGTAATATTTTAATTGTTACAGTCATCACTCAAAAGAATCTGAAATCAAAATCCTTCAAATGTTAACTTCTGCCTCCATGAGTTTAAACTTGATTGAAGATTCCAGGTTGTCATCAAATTTCTAAATCTTCTCATAGGATTATATCCTATGTTATTATTATTACTATTATATGTTATGTTGTTATTATACAGTAATGACACCATTTTAGCTTCAACCTTACTGCTCATTGGTCTTGTATTCTCTGGATCATCAACCAGCATAATCATTCTGATGCTGTTAAATATAAACATCATCTGGAAGCCTGTTATTTTTATTATTCCCTAAATAGAATTAATTACTTAATGATTTTTTTTATTATTATTATTATTTTAGTTTGCATTTATGAATTTTAACTGATGAATTCTAGTAAACCAGTAAATTTGATGTCTGTGAACATATATCACATGTTTGTGTTCACAGAAGAGAGCATAAAAAGGAGATACAATGTAAAGTGCATGAGTAAAGGAAATGAGATGATAAACAGGAATTGTGTTTCCTTCAGGATACTACTTTTAGCAGCTAACCAGAGGTTCATCTCCTTGGTAACTCTGATCACATAATCACATGCCTGGGAAAGCCTCTAACACAGGTTGTTGTAAGTTTAAAAACCAAAAGCAGCAACAACAACTAAAGCTGCTTTTTTTTTTTTTTTTTTTTTTTTTTTTTTTTTTTTTTCTTCCTTCTTCTCTTCTCTCTGCAGACTTGGTCAGATCAGATAGAGAAAGTGCAAATTCTGGGAGCAAACAGAAGTTCATGAGAACTTTAAGGAAATTCTCAGAAATGCCAGAAGTCTCCAGGAATGGTAAGGAAATTTAAGCATTGAGAAATCATGTTTTTGTTTCTTTCAAAAAAGTGTGTTTGCTTGCAAGGTTAATTATGTTATCCTTTTCGGCTGCCACCGGTGCCCAGGGAAAGAATTTTAAACTAGACTGGAATTTTATGGAAACTGGTTTTAAGTAGTTGGATTATTGTGGAAAGTGCAACAGAATAACTCTTTGATGGGCCATTTTTTAAACAAGTCACAGAGTATTTGTCTAAGAAATGATTTGTAGAAACCATGGCAAAAGGTGTTGAAGCTTACTGAAGACCAAGGAGACTTAAATGCCTATAATCCAACAACATAGTGGTCCCTGAAAGCCTCTGCTGGTAAATGTTCATTAGGTGGTGAGTGTCCTATGCCTTTGCTGTGTTTGTTCCCAGCTACCTCAAAGATTTGTGTCATTCATTTATGCATAGTTTCCCAACTTTATTCATGTTTTGAAACTCAGGGGAGCAAAGGGGAGTACATTTCTCTAATTCTAACAGGCGATAGATTGCTCCTTCTTTGGGATTATGTCTTGATGGTCATGCTCTGAACATTCAGAAATATTTAGCTGTGTTTTGAGGCTTCTTGTGATGGGGAAGGTTCTTTTTTTGTTTGTTTCTTTTATTTCTTTTGCAGATTTGGAAACAAAACTCAAAAATTAATACCAGTGGTAGTTCCTGGTTGCATTTTGATCTAGTTCAGACATAACTTCATTTTGGAAAGGGAGTTTGTTGATTCAGAAGGCTAGGATTTCTATAGCTGTCACATCAGCTCTATTTTGAGGATGAGGCAGGAGAACCCACTCATTGAACAATAATCTAATTATATGTTTGGATTTACTTTTAAAACACAAGGACAAAAATACGTTGTTAATAAATTAACAAATCCATTTAAAATCTTTGAAAGGCTTCAATGTGTTTTTAAACTTATTCTTCAGACTCACAGTTGAGTCTGAAGCTCTCCACCTTCTTTCAGTTTTGCATCTTTCTTCCTTCTGCTCAGATGCTTCCTAAAATACAGAACTGCTGGCAGGAATCTCACGGCAAAATGTCCAGTGTGTCTTTAAATATAATGGAGATGTTCTTTGCCGCAGCCCTGCCAAGTGGCTGATTGCTGGCAGCTGAAACAAGGGACAGATGGCCATGCAGCTCTATCTGCACCCTATTGAGATGAACAAGTGACAATCTGCAAAATGCTTAAAACTAATTTAAACTGTTTTAACCTCAGGAAACCCAAGAGTCTCTTAGGTTTCTTTGGTGAAGTGTAGGCAGATTTTGTGCTTTTTCATGCTCTCTGTCATAAAGATCTCAATGCTCTCAACACAAGTACATCTCATCTATTATGCCCCAAGCCCAGAGATATCAGAACTGCCAGTGAAAAAAAGCTGCAAGGGCATTCTGCTTATTGACATGCAAGTGATATTGAGCATTGTGCATTTTTCAAGAATTCATTCATCTGAAGGGTCTTCAGCAAGCACAGCTTTTTCAGATACTAGGATACTTTCTTAGGCCATATATGAAATAAAACCCCCAAAAGTACTGGGCTTTCATCTAAGGCACATTAGTAAAAGTGACAGAAGATTTAGATTAAGGGATGACTGAACGAAAACAGTAATATTAGCTAGGCTGGGCACATAGAATTTGAACTTGGACTGATTTAATGAAGAGATTCTAACATTTATGTTACTATATCTTATTCTGATGCAGGTGGTTCTGAAAAATGTCTGGCAGTATATCAGATTTTTCAATTAGTATTCTTTCCTTAGTTCTGTTGCATTATTTTTTCCATTATTCTTGTCTTCAAAATTAGACAAAAGCTACGTGAGGCAAATTCATCTCATGTTCTCAGTAAGTTCTTTCCTACGTGCATCCTTTCAGGCTGTAGTTCGACAGTTACTCATACTAGTCTTCTTCACGCTGTAACACCCATTGGGATCCAGATCGGGTAGAGAGATGTGACTGCATAACAGGGATTTTCTGCTGTCATTGCACTTTCAGATTGTTTATTTTAATAAATCTGAATTAGCGAAAATTCAGTGAAAACACACTGTTTCTGCACTGCTGTCTGCAACATTCATATTCTGGGCTTGGCACCCCTTAATTGGGATTCAAATTTGTGAACCTTACTCTCAAACTCCCTTTGCCTTTTTGTTAGGAAGAGCAGGGATTGCCTTAACTGGGCAGAGAAGAACAAACCAGAGTGCTCATTTGTCCAGACTTACCTAAAACTCATTTAGGGCATTTCTAGTGAAAATGGAATTCATACTTTTTCATTACCAGTGGTGAGTAAAGGAAAACAAAAGGTTTCCTGAAGGGTAACAAATTACCTCTCCCCTCCCCCATATATTAGGGCTATATATCATAGCTCAAATCTTATAGCACCTTAAGAAGGATCTTGCTGAAGTCTCTTCAAAATCAACTGAAGCAACAAATCCCTTAAATCTGGGGCCAGATGTATGCTTACTGTGATTTGTAGCCCTGCATGCACTCTGATGAGGGTGTCTGGTATTGTATTATTGTGAAAACGAGAGTGGATAGAAAACAGGCAAATGAGAAGGACCATAAAGAAACTTCTGATTTCTCTTGTAAGGGAAATGAAACATGCTCAAAGTGTAAAAACGCAATAAAATGTTTTCAGAATAAGTTTTAGATCACGGATGACCTCTGTGTCAGAAATGAAATATTGGATCTACTTGGACCCGTAAGAGATTTGATGTAGAATACATACATACCTACATATTTGGAGCTTTTAAATTCTTATGAAATAAATATGTCACAGGAAAAAAATACCATTAGCAATCCCACTGGCCTGTTTTAAAGAGTATATAAAACGAATTTAATATGTTGGTTTATCAATAAGTTACTAGTACAGAAAAATCTACTTAATAATCTGGTTAACTTTTTTTTTTTTTTTTTTTTTTTTAAATCTGATTCCTGTGTGAGGGTTTTTTTTTGTTTGTTTGTTTGTTTTTTCCTAACGTGTGGTTTCTATTCTGTCCTAATGAGTTTTTCAGTATGATTATTACAGACAACTGTATACATATTTATCTAATGTGTAAATTGACTGGGTGTATAGTCAGGCATAATACTTCAGGACAACATAAGTAACAATGGGAAAATATAATCTTTCAGTACTGAAATCTTCTTTTGGAAGTTTCCAATATAGTGAGTATCCGACAGTTTAAGATTAGGGACAAGACTTCTAATGCTGCTTGTTTTAGGTATACAGAGGGGTACAGGTAGGAAAAATATTTTTAATCAAATAGTTTTGATAGAAGAATAAATATCAAAGCATTTCATGTCTTCGGTATTTCTTCCAAGCATTAACATGATGAAGCAGAATGAAATTGTGAAAGTCTTCAGTCTTTCAAGTATATCAAGTTATTGTTAGATTTTGACTGGGTTTCAAATTACTTAAATATTGCTTTAAAACTTTCAATTTTGATTGACATGCTTTCTAATTAGACAGTGTTAGAATTTTAAGTGAAACCTCTGTGAGAAGCTTAGGGCTTTTTTATTCTTAGTTCAAACATATTTTAGTTTTTAAATAATAAAAAAATATATACGATGGTTTGAATAGGAATTTCCCCAAATTATTGATTTGATGTACCACCACCAAAAATCTCACTATAATTGTCAGTAAAGATGAAATATTAATTATTTACATAGCTTTAGGATGCACTGGAACTTTATGCGTCCCCTGGCAAATGCTACGATGAGTTAATTGATGATTTGCAAGGAAATGATTCATGTTAAGCTCTCATTTAATTTATAACAATAACATAAGAGATTACATTAGTATTGCTTCTAAACAATGGATAAATGCTATGCCTAGCATTGTGTGCAAGCCCATTCAGCATAATTAACAGGTGTGAATTGTTGTTTGCTGGGATAAGCCTCCCACTGTGCAGCTCTTTGTTGGCTGCAGGCTGCTTTCCTGCTGTATTACTGCTTCTAAATGAGCCAATCTCACTTTAATGTAGGATTTTACATATGTTAATTCTTTGTACACTTGTTTATTTTAAAGTAGTTGAGGCAATAACAGTGAATCTCTTCAAAAAGCCTGTATTTCTGCAAGCTTCTGATTACCTTGCACCACTCCAGCCTTTTTTGTGTTTCTCTTTTCAGCAGTGTCTGTTTCAATTAAAAGGAACTACAGTAGCAACTTCTAAGAGCATCAATCTGACTCCTTAACTGTAAGATAAAAGTCTGTTCTGCAGTTTAGAGAATCATAAATCTGCTCCACTATGTTCTTTACCCCAAATTATATAAGAAATATGTAGAGAGCACAGAGAAGTTTACGGACTTCTATATAGGCTTGGCAAACTTTGAAGTGAAATTTTTAATTTTAATTTCGAAATTCTCATAAATCTTTGCAAATCCCAATTTAGTTCATCTGTAAAGACATAAAAGATGTTCTAAATTGGAAAAACGTTTTAGGGTTCAGACGGTCAAAACTAAAATGAAACAAAAACACTTGTTGCAGTTTAGGCATGAAACACTATTTCTCTGTCGGTAGACTGTATATGAATTTAAGGATATCATTACATAAATTTCTTATATACTTTTCCATAACTTTTTTTTTTCTATTGTTTGTGTTTTAAAATTAGTTGAGGAATGGCAGGACTAAAATACAAATCAGATTAACTATTGTCTTTTTCCCCATGTCTCTCTTTTACATAGTTGCTAAATTACAGAATTGTTAAAAATGTTTTTGCATTTTATGACGTCATAAGAAAAAATAAAATGTCATCATAGTTGATTGTTTTTTTGTTTGTTTGTTTGTTTTGTTTTGTTTTGTTTTTTGTTTTTCAGCTAAAACAGACAGGAGGGCAATTGACCCCAGTTATTATAAAAATAAATTCTTTACTATATTTTCTATTTCTTTTACCTTCAGTGTTAACACAGGTTTGAGCAAGTCCAGAGGTCCTCCAGAGGACCAGAAAGACAATTTGATAGACTTAGGTCCTGATAAGTTAGCATCAAGAATTTCAGCTA